AATTGGTGCAGTTACCCTATATTCAATCAGGTTCGTCTGCTCAATTCCATACAGAAAAATGGATGTACTACAACGAGTTAGTTTTTTTAAAAGATGTCGTCGATCACAGAAGGTTAAAATTAAATAATTTGTTTTATTAAAATAATTTTTTTTGTTTAATTTCCTATCATTAATCTGCTGTATAAATCATAAAGTCAATTTTTTTAATAATGGTAATAATCATTCATTTTTAGTACTGTTAGCAGTTTCCAAAGACCAAATGAGCACCTAGAAGAAGGTGAAGATGAAGAACTTGAAGAACAAGGTGAAGTTCAAATACAGGTAAAAGAAGGAAGAGAAGTGTTTGATGATGCAGGTGAATAGTTTATTAATGACAGGCTTCTCACTTATTTATTTGAAAATATGCTTATTTGTTTTAAAAAAGTGATTCAATTAAAATAGTATATTAAGCAACAAGGTACGTAAAGGCAGACATTTATTTACGGTGATTTTTGTGACACGAGTGGAGGTTGAGTAACGAGTGGCACAAAAATCATCGTAAATAAATTGGCAGCCTTTAAGTCCCGTGTTACTTACGATATTTTTTATTCCAAAGGCACAAAAGTGGCGATTTCAGATAGCAGACGACAGGGAGTAAAAGTCATTCACTTGTTCGACTTGTATAAAAATGGCGGCCTTTTTTTCCCATGAGCACAAATAACGCATGGGGCTAGCTGTTTTTTTTGCCCATGGGAAAAAAAGGTCGCCATTTTTATTCATGTGGACAAATGAATGGCATTTAGTTCCTGTCCGCTGCTATTTAAAAGCGCCTATTTTGTGCCTGAGGTATGAAAATTTTTTTTAAACAAATAAGCATATTTTCAAAACGGCGTATTTGTTTATAAATCTGAGCGGTCAATTTTTTTAGATTATAATTGAATATTGAATGAATAATATAGTTAAATTATGTTAAAATAAATTTTATGTTCTTTAACAGAATTAATGTTTCTTGTTTTTAAAAACTATATTCAAATAAAATTGAATTTTTAAAGAATTGTAACTAAAAATCTGAAAAATAATTGTTTTTTATAAAAATTTAGAATTGAAGTTATTATCTGGATAAAAAAAGTAATTTTTTTATTTTAATTGAGAAAAATGTCGTAGAGACATACAGAATAAAATTTTTGGGAATTAACTAAAACGAGTTTATTAGTCATCAGATTTATAATTTTCGATAGCTACTTTTTCAGTCTTAAAACTATTTTTTGCTACTTTTTTAAAATTAAGTATTGAGTTCTGTTACTTTTCTCTCAATGCACCATCTGCTTCTCCGATCAATATAGAATATTCTGAACCTGACGAATCATCATTTAAAAAAAAATATTAAAATTGAGCGATTGATTGTGATAAAAGATATATGGGACAACATCCCTCATTCCCTCAAAATCAAAAAGTAAATTGTTATAAAGAATTAAGTCAGTTAATGAAAGAGGGATAATCTTTGTTAATTTTAAATGAAATTAAAACACATTTCGAAGTAAATGAAACAAATTTATTTATCGTAGAAATTATTTAAAGTATTCTTTTCAAGTGAGAAAAATTATTTTTAGTTCTGCTTCACTAATGAATTATAATAACTTATAATTTCTCTGAAATATTTAGAAAAAATAATTGAATAATACATAATTTGTCAAATTTTTAAATATTCAGTATTTCTCTGAAATATCTCACCTGGAGTGGATCGCCTAAGCTTTTTTTCTGAAAAATTCTTTATGAAAGCAAATTAATCGGAGGTTTCTATTCCAAGCTTTAGTTTAGATCCCTAGATAAGTAGCTACGTAAACCTGACAGGACCATATTGTCGGATCATGATGGGACCTATTGCATAATTAAGGGCTAATTTAGGGCTAATTTAATGACAAATTTTCAGTTGAAATTTGATAATCACGTTCTTTAGCCATTGACATACTTAAAATATTTTTAATGTTTTCCAACTTTCACCACGTGGAGGTAAACGTGAACTGGAAAATCCTTTTTTTTATTTTTAAATTTTATATATTTTTTTACTGTTTTATTTTTTTATGTATTTTTCTTCTTTTTATTTGTTATTATAATTTTTGAATTTAAAGGTAAAAAAATAGAAATGCATGTTTTATTTTAATCATTACTTATTTCAGGGTCAAATTGAAAAAAACAATTTTTTTTATCTCCAGCTTGAAGCTCTTGTAAAACATTTCAAAAATCATTCTTCATAGTTTTAATTCGATTAAATTTACTTATCAATATATTAAATCGAAAAAAAAATAATTTAAAAAAAGACTTATCAGTTCACGTTTACCTCTACGCGGTGAAAGCTGGAAAACATTAAAAATAATTTTAATATTTTAATGGCTAAAGATTGTGATTATCAAATTTCAACTGAAAATTTGTCTGTCATATTGAAGCGGCCATGTTTAATTTTAAAAATTGGACATTATAATCGTAATCAGCGACCCCAAAAACCCTCGAGTAACAAGTTTCAAGCGAATCTAATGATTTTTTAGAAAAATTGTCAGCCATATTGGATCCGCCACTTTAAATTTTGAAAATTGGACTCCAGATTCGTGATCAGCGACCCCTAAAATCCCCAAGTAACACATTTTAAGCTAACCTAATAAATTTTTGAAAAATTTGTTAGCCATATTAGATCCGCCATTTTGAATTTTAAAAATTGGATTTCATATTCATAATTAGCGACCCCAAAAACCCCCGAGTAACAAGTTTCAAGCAAATTTAATTAGTTTTAAAAAAAATTAGCCGCCATATTGGATCCGCCATTTTGAATTTTGAAAATTGGACTTCTGATTCGTGATCAGCGACCCCTAAAACCCCCAAGTAACAAATTTAAAGCTGATCTAAACACTTTTAACAATTTCGTACTTTCGAATCAAATTTTGAAAAAAATTTGAACTTCAAACTCCATTTTTGAGCCGCCATTTTAATTTTTAATTTTCTCTATAGTCCTATCTTCTAGGTAATATATCTATGTCACGTTATTTGTAACATTTGGAATTATTTTTTCGCTATTTCATAGTAGAAGAAATTGAAAATTAAACAAAAATTGGAAAAAAATCGGACTTTTTTTATAAAAAACATTAATAACTTTTTTGTTTATAAATTTTTGACTTTTTTTTAACGCCATTCGATAGAGTGCATATGAAAACATAAGAAATGATGATTCGTGAATTTTTCTATTGATTTTTAAGTACCGAAATAAGTCCTCAAACTTCATGCCAAAATTTTGTCCATTTGGGTGTTAAAGGGTTAATGTAATGATTAGAAAACAATTACTTTTTTCAAGAAATTATGTTGAATTTTTTTTTTTTATTAAAAATTTTCCTTTCTTAAAATTAAAAAATAATAAAATATATGGGTCAAAATAAGTGAAACCGGCCACTTGAAAAATTTTTATCTCCAATTTTCAAGTTATCTATGATTTTTAGTAGATATATGAGTACACTTTTTCCCCCTAAAATATTTTTCAAAAAAAAATTTTATTTTTGAAGTAATCAGGTATTGTAGTTTTAGGTCATTTTATTTTCATTTTATTATTACTTTGAAACAAATAAAGATAATTAAGTAATTTTTTTTTTAAATTAAAGCTTAAAGTCTATACTTTAAAGATGAAATAAAGCGATTGCTAAAAAATGAAAATTTATAATTGTTATTAACAATTCTTTTAAACAATTGCAAATTGAAGAATGTTCTCAATGTTTTTGAAAGATTAAATTACGATATATTGATGCGCAAAACTATAAGGATTCATTTAAAAAAAAGAAAAATAAGTAACCTACAATATTATAGAAATTGTGTAGATTTTTCTGACAAAATGCAGGCCAAAATCGATTTTTAATCTTAAAAATCCGCTTGAAAGCGTGAAGTTTCTAACAAAACAAAAGAAGATCTTATTTATTCGTTTGCAATTTTATCTTTTTCCAGGAACTTGAGTCAATTTCTGCTTGCATTTTGTCAGCAAAATTTACATAATTTCTATAATATTGGAAGTTACTCATTTTTCTTTTTTTTAAATGAATCCTTATAGTTTTGCGCATCAATATATCGTAATTTGATCTTTCAAAAACATTGAGAACATTCTTCAATTTGCAATTGTTTAAAAGAATTGTTAATAACAATTATAAATTTTCATTTTTTAGCAATCGCTTTATTTCATCTTTAAAGTATAGTCTTTAAGCTTTAATTTAAAAAAAAATTACTTAATTATCTTTATTTGTTTCAAAGTAATAATAAAATGAAAATAAAATGACCTAAAACTTCAATACCTAATTACTTCAAAAATAAAATTTTTTTTTGAAAAATATTTTAGGGGGAAAAAGTGTACTCATATATCTACTAAAAATCATAGATAACTTGAAAATTGGAGATAAAAATTTTTCAAGTGGCCGGTTTCACTTATTTTGACCCATATATTTATAATAAAAATTAATTCAAAATAATTTTTTAAAAAAAATGGAATCAATTATAAATTTTTATAATATTAATTTTTTTAATGTAAATGATTAGAAAACAATTACTTTTTTTCATGAAAGGAAAATTTCATAATTACCAAAAATTTTACTAAATGTGAAATAAAAAGAAATATTTTTCAAATTTGAAATTATATTGAAATTATTTTTTTATTAAAAAAATTTTCCTTTCTTAAAATTAAAAAATAAAATATATTTTATATAATAATAAAAATGAATTCAAAATAATTTAAAAAAAAAATGGAATCAATTATAAATTTTTATATTAGGGTAGGGTGGGGCATTACTATTCTTGTTTGGATTTTTGAGTCTACAAAATTTATTTAAAAAAAAAAAAAATAATGAGTAGAACCGTTTGAAAGCTTGACTTCTTAGCTACAATTTTGCCATGTATTATTTTGCTGTAGCTCAATTCTGTTGCGAACTACAGCGATTTTACGAAAAAAAATTTTTTTTGATGTCGAAGAAAACGAGGGGCGTAACTATTCTTTCAGCTATTACTGATATAATACTAAAAAATACAATAAATATTGTTTTTATTATCCAAATTAAATCAAATTTTTATCTGTAGTTATACAATATATTAAAAACTACTACCAACAGTAATAAAATTTATTATTGTATAAAATATATCAAGAAATAAGAAAACATAAAATATTAAAAAAAATTTTCTTATATGTCCATTTCTTCGTCGCTTAAGACACAATTGACGCAAGCCCAGTTTAACTCAATTCTTGAACATGTAACGTGTGCCTTTTCCAAACACGATACGCATGTTTGATAGGAAAGTCCTAAAGAAATGGATTTATTGCACACGCAGCACTTATCCTCCATACTCAAATCCAAATCACTCTCAGAAGATGAAGGTATTTTTTTTGAACGTCCACTTCCACGTGGTCGACCACGAGGTCGTCCCCGTCCAATTTCGCAGCTGATATTTGAACTGGGCCCAGCAATTGGGCTAATATTTCGCATACTTCCACGAGGTCGTCCACGAGGTCGTCCACTAGGTCGTCCTCGTCCAGTTCCACGATTTTGCGCCGTAATTTCCACTTCTTCGTTTAGAATTACTTCTACAATTTCAGGGTTGATATTTGAATTGCAGCCAGCAGTTGAATTTATATTTCGCCCACTTCCACGAGGTCGCCCACGAGGTCGCCCACAAGGTCGTCCACTAGGTCGTCCTCGTCCAGTTCCACGATTTTGCGCCGTAATTTCCACTTCTTCGTTTAGAATTACTTCTACAATTTCAGGGCTTATATTTGAATTGCAGCCAGCAGTTGAATTTATATTTCGCCCACTTCCACGAGGTCGCCCACGAGGTCGTCCTCGTCCAATTTCACGTTTTTTCGCTATAATTTCCGCTTCTTTTCTTCGAATTTCTCCCATAACTTCGGGGCTGGTTAATATTTGGGTTCTACCACGTCTGCGACCACGTGCAGTTTCTTTTCGAGCTGGTGCTTTCGGAAACGGCATGATGTTTTGAATAGTTTCGTCCAAATTTAGAGAGTCTAATTCGATTAAATTCGCTCCATCTATTTCTCTTTCTTGCAAATCGTCTTCAATATCACATTCTGCTGCAATGTCAGTCACATTTATTAGTGGTCGGTCAGTGACACTAGATGGTGCAAAATCGCTATCAAAGAAAATGTTTGAATTTGGCGGATAGATACCGGTGCAGCGAAACCCTTCTTCGATATTTGAATGTGTGAATGCTCGAATAAATGGTTCTTTTATAATTTCTGCTAAGTTGTGGATGGTAATGTTTGTAACATAGCGTCGCATCCAATCATCGCAAGCTACAGTAATGGCCTTTTTAAATGGTCCAAAAACACTGCGATCTAGTGGTTGCATCTTGTGCGTGCAATGTGGTGGAAATGACACTACATGAATCCCATTGTCGATGCAAAACTGCATCGCTTCGCTTGAAATGTGCGATTCGTGATTGTCGAACAATAACAGAGTTGGGTTCTGCGGAGATGAATGAGCAGTTTTCTGGAAATGATTCAAAAAATCGAGAAATGTGGATTTTGTCATCCATCCAGAACCATTTGCAGCTGAGCGAGAACCATTCGGTGCATTACGCAAAAATTCCGGCTTATTGCGAACACGTGGAAAAATGAAAAATGGCGGTGTCTTATTTCCCGTAGCTGATACTGCAACCGCAATTGTAATTGAAGTGCCACGTTCGCCTGATGTCATTTTGCTAACTTGTTTGGCGCCTCGCTGTGCCACAACACGACCAGGCTGATGAACTGTGGATAAGCCAGTCTCATCCATATTCCATATATTTCCAGGATCGAACCGCACCTCATCCATCACTTTATTTAAGTTGAGAAAAAATGAATCAACATTGTGTCGATTAAATGCCGATGCTCTAGCTAAGCTTGTGGATTGTGGTTTTCTAAGTGATAAATTAGGATGACGTTTCATGAAACTTTGCAACCAATCTTTGCCGGCCATCTTATTTATTTTCCAACTTTCTGGCATGAAGATGTTAAGTTTTTTGGCCAAATCGTATGCAAGCGAACGGACATTTCCAGTTGTCAGACCGTAAAATATTTCAGAAGACTTTAGTAAGTGAACCATTAATGCATTTTCTTGCTCATTTGTGAAAACCTTTAAAAAAAAGGTCATTTGAAAATAAAATAATGAATCAGTTGTTGCCAAAATAAAAAGTAATAGAACGTTCATACTAACCTGTCTAAATTTATTTATTTCAACATTTTCTTTTTTCGCTGCAATACGCAGTGTTTCGTAGTTTAATTCAAAATTTTTCGACGCTTTATTTATACTCATTCCTTCCTTTATCTCAGACAATGCTTCTTGCAGAACTGGTGATAAAACTCTTGGTCGTTTGCTTACACAAGTTGGAATATTGATGCAATGAAAACGTAAAGTCCCATAGCATAAACCAAATTCTTTTGCTGTTTCTTTTATTGTTTTACCTTTTGATACTTCCTTAATTGCTTTTTCCAAATCTTCTTTGTTAATTGGAGGATTTTTTCTTTTCCAATGTCTTACCATTCTAACCTAAAAACAAACACACAAAAAACATACACTGTTTTGTAGTTTTCGCTGTCGTCAGTGAAAGAATAGTTACGCCCCACCGGACCATTTTTTGAAAAAACACTTGTAAAATTTTTGAACAATAGAATATCGAAAATCCATTATGATATTCGTGTTCAGCACTAAATTTGACTTTAGAAAACACTTACCCGAAATTTTTTCCCACCGTTTATCACTATTAACAATGGCAGACTAAATGAGTGAAAACAAGTAAGCGAGTGTGTCAAAATCACATTTGGGTACCTAACTCCTATGATAGATGGCGCCAGAAGCTCAAATTTGGCATACAATGTTTATTTCACATGACAAGTATACACTGTAAAAAAAACTTTAATCGGATGAATAGTTTTCTCTCCAGGACTAAAGAATAGTTACGCCCCGCGAATAGTAATGCCCCACCCTACCCTATATATAAAAAATAATAAAATAAATTTTATTATTAGCATAATTAAATATATATATAGTGTGTTTATTAAATTAATTATTTTTTATAAGAAAAAATTTCTTTTTAATGAAAATATAAAAAAATTAATTTATTTAAAAAAAAAGAAATTATTTATTTATAATATTTATTTTATATATTAAAAAAAAAAGTTTTAAAAGAAGTAATTTTTTTAAATTAAAGGATATTTCCAGAATATTATATTAATTACACATAATAAATATTTTTAATAGAAAAAAAGTAATAAGAATATTTTGTACAATCATTAATCATTTTTTATTTATTCAAAGGGATTCATTTATTTTACAGCACTTTTTTTCTATGTCAAAAAATAATAATACTGTCGACAATATTACATTGCAATTATATTACAAAAATAATTACACTAATTTTAAATAAAAAAAATAAAGGATATAATATTATTTTCCTTTTTTTTAACTTACAAATTTAAAAAAAATACTTGGCTTTTAAAAGAAATAACTAATTATATAAAAAAATATAATCTTTTTTCTCTGTAATCTCATTTTTCCTCTTTCTATCTTAATAATCTCATTTTTCCTGTATCTATCTCTTAATAATAATTTTAATTTTTTAACATTGAACTTAGTCAATATCAGCATTTTTCATTTTTTATATATATAAAGTAAAGTATTTTATTAGTTTAAATAGTATACTATTTTAAGTTTTTTAATTTTAATTTTTTTTAAGTTAAAAAAATAATTATTATTTTATTTTTTAAATAAATAATATATTAAATTATTTAAAAATTTTTTTTAATAAAAAAGAAACAATTTTTTTTAATAAAAAAAATTGATTTAAAAAATCATTCACTTAAGTGAATTCTGAGTCTGCGCTTTAAATACTTTCATCATCGCCCATTCTTGAAACCTGAAACAATTTAAAAACAAATTTGTTATATTTATATTATTAATTTATTTAAAAATAAAAATTAAAGTGATTTAAAAAAATGTATACATGCATACCTTTGAAATAATAGTGTTTTTAACTACATCCGAATATTTTCGACGGGTTTTTAAATTGAATGATGAATTTTCAGCTGGTGATAATAATTTCTTTGCGGCAGTTTCTGTAGTTTCTACACTCGAGTTGTTCAATGAAACATTGTTCTCATTTTGTGAATTATTACTTGTGATGTTTGCAGATAGATTATTACCATTTGTTGTTGGAGGAACAGATTCAGGATTGTTTGTAATATTGTCTTCTTTTGGTCGAATTATGTGAAATCCTAATCGAATTGCATCCACAGATAGCCCCCTTAAGTTTATAACTTTTATATTCTCCCTACTTTGAACGTGTAAAATGATTGTATTAAATTCGTTGCTGCTGAGTCGTCCGTGTAATTTAACTGAAGCTCCAACTGGAATCGGTTCATCGGAGTCATAGGTTGTAACGTGAATACAAAGATCACGGTAAATCTGAGTGTTCTCACTGAGTTTTTCCATTCACGAATCGCAAGTGGCGGTGACAGTCACCGTCAGAGAGCGCTACATCTTGTAGAAAATTATAATGAGTTTCCATTCATCGTCTAAGACTCTGATCACACCGTGATTTTAGGTTCAACCTTCTCTCCGTGTAGGAAGTCGGTAGTAAGAATCCGTAATGGCACCATTCCCGTGGGTCGAATTATTGAAAACTATTTTTTCAATAGGTGTTCTAACATACCCTTCTATTGCTGTAAATAAAAAAAATTTCTTTTAAAAAATAATAACAAAAAATAGTATTATTCGAAATATATAATTTAGTTTTAAAAATTTTTAAATATTTTATTTAATGTATATATATATATATAATATATATAATTAAAAAAATTAAATTAATTTTAAAAAAATAAAATAAAGATTTTTATTTAATTTAAAAAGATATTATTTTTAATATAAAAAAAATTTAAAAAGATTTTATTATTTAAAATTTAAAAAGAAAGATTTTTATTTAATATAAAAAAAAATTTTAAAAGATTTTTATTTATTTAAATTTAATATATATATTAAAACAATAAATAAAAATGAAAAATACTTACCAACTAGTTTTCCTATAGAATTGGGAATGTCTACAAAAGTTATTCCTTCGTAAACAAGTTCTTCATCTTCAATAACTACAGATCCTAACAGCTCTATTGTTGTATGCTTCTGAATGGAAATCTCTATGTTCATTAAATTGTTGTCCTTGTTTCTGTTGATATACAATGGATTTGAAAGCAGGACCTGTGGCCTTGAAATTCTAACGATCTAAAAGCAAAAAAGAATCAAGAAAGATTAATATTATATTATTTTATATATAAAAAATATATTATTTTTTCCTTTATTTTATTATATAAAAAAATATTATATTATTAATTTTTTTAATTTTTAATAACTTTACAAAATTAAATAATAATTTTATATTATTAATTAAATAAAAAGTCAGTAAAAAAAAATTTTTTTTTAATTTTTTTTTAAAAAACATTTTTTTTTATTGAAATTTTTTTTGCACCACCGCCATTTTTTTTCTATAAAATAATAGTCATTTCAAGAGTAACATATATTTTTTGCAAGATGATTGAAAGGGTACTTCATACTTTAAAAAATAAAAAACCGATTTTTGGCCCCTAAATAGTACAGTTTTCTATATAAACGAGGGGCCAACATTTTTTAAAATTACATTAAAAATTAATTAATACTTAAATTAAATTTCTAAAAAAGTTAATAATATATGCCTGTTTATTGTAAATATTGATTTTTTAGTATGTAAAAGGTTAATTAAAAAAGTAAATGGACGTACATTACCATCGGGAATTACCGGTACGGATACACGCGCACGGCCCAAAAACATGTCAATCACTGAGAAAACGATTTATTTGATTCAAAAAAATTTTGTTTAAATCAAACTTAAAATATCTTTGCTATACAGTCAAACAAATTTCAGTTTAATTCAAACATATTTTTTGGTTCATTTATAGAAATAATATATTCAATTCAAACAAAATTTATGGTTGATTTTAAATTATTTCTAATCAACATTTAAGTTTGGATCAAACATAACATTTTTAAACATATTCTTTGTTTAAACCAAAACAGAAAATATATTTGAATTAAACACAATTATTCAAACAAATATTATTTTTGAATCAAAGCAGTATATATTTTCTATATATATTGGGATCTCACAAACCGATTATGATTTTAAAACTCTTTTGGTCTTAAGTAAAAGATAAAACTTAAACCTATGTAAATTTCAAATTTTTTCTCCAATTATTAAAAAATATGCCAAAGTTGAAAAAACTTCAAAAAAAAATTTTTTTTTGTTAATTTTTTTGAAAAGTTGACTAAAAAATCAATATTTACAATAAACAGGCATATATTATTAACTTTTTTAGAAATTTAATTTAAGTATTAATTAATTTTTAATGTAATTTTAAAAAATGTTGGCCCCTCGTTTATGAGGCATTATTCCTGAACTGCCCCAAAAATAAAAAAAAGTTCTTGGATTTCCTTTATACTTTGGAAATATGTTACCCTAGTAGGTACAAGTTACTACACCAATTTACAGGTCCAACCCCCCACCCCAATCAAAAGGGTGGGGGGTTGAAATTTCAGCTTCAACTCGAACATGCATTCTTTAAACATTTGTAGTTTCTACTTAAATTATTCAATTAAAAAAAGTAAGTAGTGTTTTAGAAAGGTTTTTTTGTGTACTTTTAAAATATTTTATTTATATAATAAAAAAAATTTTTTTTGCAAAAATTTTTTAAAATAAATAGTTTTTTGCAATTTTGTGCAAGTTCGGTAGTTTTTATTTTCTTTTTAATAATCTCAAATGAAAGCTTGGGAATTCCCCTAAAAGAAGATATAAGTCTGAAAATGGGCCGAAACAATTTGCCAAAGATATAGTGTAATAAGTAAAATTTGTCCGTCCGCTCGCGCACTCCAGCGCGATGAACAGTGGGATTTTTTTTCAACTTACTATTGAAAATTGTCTAGAAACTACAAATTTTATCGGATGTTGATGTTCTTGATTTAAAATTACTAAGAGATCCATCAAAGTCGATTTTTGAATTTTTAATTGTTTATTTTTTTCTTGTTACTCAAAAATTTGACAAATTACAATATTTTTAGAAAAAATCATGTTAGTTTTTTTATTTTTCCATTACACATGATCGAAATCAATTTAAATTAGTCTAGTATGACCACCGGACAATTAATAAAGCATAATACAATTTATTTAAATTGTTGCAAACAATGTTAATTAACAAATAGATTACTTCGGACCTTCTTCATAAAAAAAATTGGTTTTTTTTGCAGACAAGTTAAAATTTATGTCTAATTTAGTAAAAAACTATTTTACAGTTAAAAATTATCATTAATATTAACAATTATATAAACGATAATCAACTTCCTTTTGTATTTGTAAACATTTTCGTCATTTTTCAAACTTTAAATATTTATATCATATGTACATTCTTTCAAAAACTTAAAAAATTTATTTGCTTAAACAATTACATTTGTTATAAACAAATTTTTCATTTTTTAACAAATAATTAGCTTTTTTCATCAAACAAAATTTTTTCCTTTTTTATATTTACTATCATAAAAAAGAACTCCTTAATGAAATGGGAATACTATAAATTATTCATTTAATTCTAACGAACATTATAAGTTAATTGGTTTTTTTGCAGACAAGTTAAAATTTATGTCTAATTTAGTAAAAAACTATTTTACAGTTAAAAATTATCATTAATATTAACAATTATATAAACGATAATCAACTTCCTTTTGTATTTGTAAACATTTTCGTCATTTTTCAAACTTTAAATATTTATATCATATGTACATTCTTTCAAAAACTTAAAAAATTTATTTGCTTAAACAATTACATTTGTTATAAACAAATTTTTCATTTTTTAACAAATAATTAGCTTTTTTCATCAAACAAAATTTT